TAATACGTTAATGATAATGGTCGTGGTCGTAGTCGTAGTAGTAGAATAAGTAGTAGTGCTGGTGGTAGTAGTAGTAGTAGTAGTAGTCGTCGTAGTAGTAGTAGTAGTAGTAGTAGTACCAGCAGTAGTAGTAGCAGTAGTAGTAGCAGTAGTAGAAGTAGTAGCAGTAGTGGTGGTGGTGGTGGTGGTGGTGGTGGTAGTAGTAGTGGTAGTAGCAGCGGCAGTAGCAGTAGCAGTAGCAGTAGAAGCAGCAGTAGCAATAGTCGTAGTCGTAGTCGGAGTCGAAATAACAATGATAATAATTATAGTAATTTTAATGATACTAATAAGAATAAGTGGTGGTAGTAGTAGTAGTAGTAGTAGTAGTATTAGTAGTAGGAGTAGTAGGAGTAGGAGTAGGAGTAGGAGTAGGAGTAGTAGTAGTAGTAGTAGCAGCAGCAGCAGCAGCAGCAGCAGGAGTAGTGGTAGTAGTGGTCGTAGTAGTAGTAGTAGTCGTCGTCGTCGTCGCCGCGTCTTGTTGTAATCTCAGTGAAGCAAAAAACCGTCATTACCAACTATCGCTGGTAGCCACAACATCCGATTACTGATCGTACATTTCCTGACATGGCCATGCTTGAAATCTCAGACATCTGCGTTTGGATGAGGTGGGGCAGCACCCGCAGGAGATTGGATCTCTGCGGGAGAAGCAGGAGGCCCTAGCTTGAGTTACCGCCTATCTATTCGTTCGTCCGTCCGTCTGTCCATCCATTATATGATATATGAGTCATATGAGTGCATACATACATATATATAAATATAAATATATATATATATATATAGATAGAGATGTATGCGGCGTTCCCCTATGCAGAATCCCGAGTTCTCGGACGTTTTGATGCCACGTGCCTGACTCAGGGTCCTCGAAACCCTACACATGTCGATGTGTGTTTCAACGTAGACATTCCGAGGAATGTTTGTGTACGCAACACAGAAGGACATGGCGATGATGACGATGATGAGGACAAGCATGATGATGATGATGATGATGATGATGACAATGACGATGACGATGATTGACGACGACAGTGACCGGTGACATCAGCACAGGCACAGGCACAGGCAACATGTGTTGCATGCAGTGCTACAGTGTTACGCACGTTGTGGAGAGACAGGTGTTGCGTGTTTTGCAGAGACACAGGTTGGTGTGCTAACAAGATAGCTTTGCTGCAGATTCTGAGGCGGTCGTTCTTGAAGCAGCAACGTATGTCTTTCGAATCCGTGGCTTGCTTCGGAAAAACCATTCACATGCGCATGCTGGTGTTGTCGTCTGCTTCAACACACCTTGCTGAGCTTTCTACAAAGTACACCATCCGCATCTGGAAACTGTCGTTGTGTACAAGCACACGACAGTGTGCGGATGCGTCCCAACGATAGTGTGTGCTGAAGCAAGCCGCAGCGTCTAAGAGTCTATGTGCAGTGGAATGATCCTTGTGTACGGGCGCATACACTTGTTTGAATCGCGACAGAACTTCCCCAGGGACTAGCTCACTGGCCCATCCCTTCGCCCGGCGCTGGGCAAATGACATGTATGTATGGATGGATGGATTTATATATGTATGCATGTGCGTGCATGTATGCGTACGTATGTGTGCGCATGTGTATGTATGTGTCCATAAGAGTGCTGATTTTCGATTAAAGGTTCTCAGTTGCACAGCCATCTCGGTCCTTCAGAAGCTCTCGTTGTCTGGCCTACCACTCGTTGTTGGGCTGTTCTCCGCTTCGAAAGCCGTCGCTCTACTGACACAGGCAGAGCCCCGCAGTTCTGAACCCCGGGATCCTCAGCTGAGTTGATGTTGGAACTTCCTCTGCCGAAGGCCGTGCCTTAAATCGCCAAGTTCCGAAACAAGAATCAACAATGCTGGAGATTGGGTTCGAAGGGCTTCCCGGGCTCTCCGGCGCTCCGCAGGCTGCGCGGCGAAAGGGTATCGAAGCCAAAGTCGCTGCGGCTGCGGAGCGGCAGAGGGCGGAGGCCAGTCGGTGACTTTCGCGTGGGGCTTTCCGGACTCGGGTTCTGGGTTTAGAGGTTTCGGGAATCAAGGACAAGGGTTTCGGCTTAGCGGTTGGTGAGTGTTACTTGCCTGCGTCACTGTTGATGGTCGTGGTTGCTGTTAACTACTGTTTGTCCTGCCACGACCTCTGGTAATGACGTGCCACATGCATGGCCATACTCTGCTAAGGATGCAGCAACACTCGCTGAAGCACGCGCCGTGTGGAGCGAATTATTGTCTGTGAAGTAGTTTGTCTTGTTGAGCTCTTCGTCGGAATGTACGCGACGAACATGGTGGGGATTGAGATTGAGAGCTTTGCGTGGGGTTTCCTGGCTATGTTGTTTGCTGAATGATCGCGCCGGGCCATCACCTGTGCTTTGGATGGTTTGCCGTTCCTTTGCTGCTTGTCCGTTTGCACAGCTTGCGGTGCTAGTTGCAAACAAAAGCCAAGGCTTGTCAGCCTTCGGTGCCCTCTGAGATCTAAGCCGAAACCAGGAGTCCAGGAGTGTCATCCCTTTGTACAAGAAGCAGCGGGAGGCAGCCCTGGGTTCTCCATTGGACTGTTGCTGTAATGTCGTGCAACGCAGTGTAAAGTAAGGAGGCCATTGGTCGTTTCCTCGGACGGATATCTTGTGTTGTGCTGGGTTAAGAATGACAACATGATGATACTGGTGATGATGACCACGATGTTGTTCTTTTATCTGTTGTTGCTGCTGAGGAACTTGCACAGCTTGGCTCCAGTGGGGCACAGAACGAGTCACGTGCCAGCGCTTGGTGTTTAACACCGGCGGATCTTGCTAGTTACAGTATAGGATTTCGATGAACTTTGTTCGTACATCCCAAGCAAGCCTTAAACCCTAGAGCCTGAGCCCGTTCCTGCCTTCGGGGTCTCTCGCTGTTGGGTTGCTAGTTTGGTACAGTAGGCATGGAAGCCTGTAGAGCAGAAGTATCAGGGTTCAGGTTGGATTTTGGGAAAATTGGGATTGTTAAAATGACAGGGTTGCATGAACTTCATAAATCTGATCACATAAATGAACTGGTTGTTGCTTAGCAAAAGGGTGGCTCACCGGATAGGAAAAGTAGTGCTGATGTTTCAACTTCCAACAGTATCAACTTTATTTGCTCGTCATTCGTCATGTTGTTATGCGCTTCATAAGTGTTATTGTGGATCTCGTCACTACGGTTCGCAGGGCAGGGCAACAAGCGGACTCACCCCGAAGAGCATCGACAATGCGAGGAGAAGTAAACGTTCTTTTATTTGCACTCGTTCAGGCATGTCGCCAATGCTAGAAGCACTAGAAACAATAAAGATATTAATTGTATTTTATGTTGCTACGAATGGCCATGTAGTATATATGACTCACAAGGTGAGGGCTATCAGGATCGCGAGCAATGTCGGTAATAATGAGTTTACCATCAACATCCGTATGTCTAGAGAATTACCAAGGTTAGAATTACCAGTATCATCTGTGATTTGCAGGTGCTTCTGCTCCGAGTACTATTGACAAGCACAATAGTAGGTACGAACCTGGAGATGTCTGTCTCATGCGTAGGAGATCTTGGAAGAGATCCGCGACGTCATCATACAGGTCCTCGCTGCATTCTTGAGGGTTCAGGTCACATGGAAAGTGTGCCCGACTCGACGCATCGCTCAAGCTCTTCGGCACGGGGGCCTGAGACGTGGCCTGCCAGGACGACCTGGCGAAGCAGGAACTTGAGAAGGTTCCGCATCTCCGTGCGACTGTCGCCTGTTGTAGTTCGGAGTTCCCGTTGAGGTTCCCATGGAAATTAATGAGCCCCCGGTCTACCGGAACCTGCCGTAGGAATTTGCCTTGTGCAAGGTTCAGGGGACTCTCCTTGCAAAGCAGCACAAGGACAGCTGTGCCAGGATGTGGCAGACGTGTAGGTTGTCAAGACTGGGCTTGCTTTTCAAGGTACCCAAATCCGATTTGGAAGTGCTCTCAGAACCAACCTGTCATTTTGAGGACCCCAGGTTATGTGCACACTTTATGAGGGAAGGCCCTAGTGCTGCGGAAAGATACGGATCTGAAGCTGCGTCGCATCTTCACTATGTGACAAGGGTAGCTTGCATTACGCGTAGTCAGTAGCCTTTGCTGTGTTGATTGGACTGGGTTTCGATTAGACTTTTGATAATCCTGAAAGCCCCAGTCAATGTTACAGGAGCTGTGGACACTTGTTTTTTGCATCTTTTCTTGCTACTCGCGCTTGATCATGTCCGAGAGCTGGGCTCCAAATCCATATCAAAACACATCCCATGAGAAGCGTTGGGTTGGATACATTTAGTGGCGTGGGATGTGTTGCGATTTAGTGACCACCATCAAGACACGTCTGCCAACGGATTTGCCAGATGGTAGCTTCGGCGTTGATGATTTCTGCACGGCTATCCCCGGACTTGATCAGGACTTGACCTTGAACTTCACCAGCTCGGGCGTGAGGCTTGGAGGTAGCTAGCTTTGCGGTCCTTGGCTTCTTGCCATGCGAAAGGCAGCAGAGAGCATCGATAAGCATGTCTCCCTTATGGCAAGCCTGGCCGTCGCAGCTTGATCTGTTACCGGTATAACGGAGCCTCACCAAATGCATGGCAATCAAGGCCCCACGGTAGTGCAGGCCTGGTAGAAGTTCCGAACTTGTCATGCAAGCCATTGTCCAATTAATTTGTTCCGCTGGCTTCCTTCGTGGTTTGTTGGCGTGTACAGACGAATTTGGAAATGAGGCGCTGGCGGCCCAGCATAGTTTTTTGTATCCTGACAGAACCTAGAAACAGGCGGCCTGCCCAACATGTGCCCGAAGCATCAGCACAAGGTATCTATCCTTTACGATTGGAGCGCTCGATTCTGCTCAGCGTGTGAGCGTCTCTCTCTCTCTCTCTCTCTCTCTCTGTCTCTCTCTCTCTGTGCTTCTGCACGTGTTGTGGGACTCATCTGGCGTTGGCAGCGCGCCTCGGGCTTGCAGCTCATATGCACCATTCGTTGCACGCATGCAGTACTAGAGTACAAAGTCCGCATGATACGCTGCAGCACGTGTAAATCTACGTGCAACACGGTATAGTGCGAGACAGCCTGGTATAGCCTTCGGTAGCAGGCCGTTCTGAGCCCCCCAACTCAGGGCGTATGGAGGAACTCTACCGCATAGCTCCCTGTTCGAGCCTCGGCGGCGTCGCGCGCATGGGCCATGGAGGAGAGTTCCTGCTAGTGGTGGAGATTTTGGTCGTGGGGAGAGCCCTACAAACATAAGAACTTGGTGTTTCGGACGATGCAGGAGTCGTCGATGCAGCTCCGGGCTTCACAGGCAAAGTGCTACAGGGCCGGCGTGCTTTTCCACACTTTGGGCCGAACCATGCCATGACCCCACTCCGTGCCAGGGCCCGGATGGACAAGTCTTATCCTGGACCTTGTGGTGCATGCAGATCCTCGGAGTAAGTGCTGTCGTGTCCAGGCCACGACTGACAAGGAGCACACCAAGTTGAAGATCGAGGCTGCACTGAGATGTGCTGATGATGATCATGATGTGTCTTTAGAGAAAGCTGGACCTTTGACTTGGGCAGCGACTTGCTCAGTGGCTCTTCGCTTGAAAGAACATGTCAAAGAATACAGCAACCTCGGGGCCCTTCACCCAAAACGAAAACAGAGCCGTCCGGCAGGCTCTGAAGCGGACCCTGGACAGTCTGAGGCTGAGAGCGGGAGGAGAGGTCATGTAAACGTGTTTTCGTCTCCGCCGTTAATCCGCCGTTCCTGCCTACCGCCTTCCTGCTCAAAAACAAGCGGACCCTGGATCCAACACCCAAACCGTTAGGTCCTGAACCCTACGGAGGCTTGGAACTCGCAGCCCAGGCCACCTGCTGCGACTGAACGCGATTCTGAATGGTGTGGGACCAAGTTTAAAAGATACAGGGATCGAAGTCAACGTGCTTTATGTTTGTCTGCCGCTTGTGTTTAAATTAGACAAGGAGTCATTAACCCTGAAGCTCCGAGGTCGTCTCCTTCTGTCACCTTCTGTCTTCGTTCTTGCTGTGTGTCTGGTTCTTCATGCTGTTGTTCTTATTCTTCCTCCTCCAATTATCTGGTCTTCTTGTTACCGATGTCGTTGCTCACGTTCCGTTACTTCCTATTGGGTCTTCATCTCAGTATTGGTGAGCCTAGTCTAGCTTGAGCAGACGTATCGTCAGCAGACTATGGTTCTTGTTGCCAGCTCCCCTACTGCACGAGCCAAAAATGGGCTCGAAGTTCCTCTCAGTCGCATCGTCGCCGAAGGCTTTCGTTTGTCAAACGAAAATACGTTTGAAAGCCGTCCGCTAGTCACTGCGTCCGATCTTTGCTGGACTTGTTGGGGGCCTCGGCGTATGTACCTTGTCCAACTCTGGTTTGCAGATGTTTCCTGGCTCTGGCTAGGACACATGCCTGCGGACCCGAAGCCAGGATGCCGAACTTGCAGAAATTCGGGCTTTTCTGCCCCTAAGCCTATTCAAAACTGAAGCTCTGCATTGAAAGCTCAAGTGCATTCGTAGGAACCCGTGTCAGCTCCAAGTCGAATGCAGGGCCGGACGTCAACTTTGATCGCCTGGCATCCGCAATCCAGGCTACGGATGAATGATCTTGGATCCGTAGTACCAACAACGCACTAGAGATAGTATACCAAGAAGACTAGTGCTCACGGAGGCAGGGGTTTTGTCCACGGATTCGGCATGGTTTCCAGTGCTGAGAGTGGATTGTCGCGACGCAACCGCATGCGCGCTTGGGGGCTGGTCTTCAGCTTTTGGGGTCTCGTTGTTCCATGAGCTCCCAGTTGTGCTGGTGCTCCTTCGGCGAACCGAGAAGCTAGGGTGCGAACTTGAAGCAAGCAATCCCCTTAGCTTCAAGAAAGTTTTCCGTCAAATTGCCAATCGACACCCCAAAACCCTACATTTCTGAACGCCCGGACATGTGTCTCTTGGTGGCCCCGGCAGACCTCGCGTTTCTTACGGGTGGCGAATTGGGGCTTGAACTTGAACAAGAGAGTCTTTATTGGGGATCCTTATCATGGGGGGTTTGCATACGAGGTTTCGGCTCCAAAGTGTCCTTCCATTCCCGCACGACCTTCAAGAAGGAGCCAGAGGGAGCCGCGGAACGGCGGGGAAAAAAAAAACACACACACACAAAGCAGCCCGGCCTTCGCCACGGCTGGGCTAGTCTTTATCACAAGTCTGAGTTGTCGTCTCATTTCGCCATGTATTGGCCACTCTCCCTCCTGACCCTACTCGGATGAATTCAGACCCAAGCCTTAAGCTTAAATCTCGGTCCAGGGGCTGGATGTAGAGCTGCGGGCAAAGCTGGCCGAGAGTGGCGACCTGCCACGGGCCAAGTCAGGGGTGCAAGGCCAGGCCCCTTCCACCCAAGCCCCCAGACCTCTCGAGGCTCGAAGCAGCGCCTTCCGACGGCACCTACGAGGCCTCTTGGACACTGCACTGCACTGTGGTGACCATCTTGTCGCCTTCGTCTTCGGTCTCGCGCACGTCCCCGAGCACCGAGGTCCTGCGGAACAGCCTCAATGAGACCCAGAAGCGCTGTAAGGACCTGCATCCTCGTTTCGTGGTGGATGCTACTCCTGTGGCCTTCAGCCGAGAGTGCAGGACTTCATGAGAGAACGTGTCGCAACTGGCTGGTCCAAGGGGCCAAATGAGAACATCAAAAATCGATGCGGGACCCTGCATTCTCAAACCCGGCAGGATCTAAACGATGAAATGCTTCGAGTGGCTAGGAGCCGAGCATGTGAACAGAGGGTTTGCACTCCTCGTGTTGTGGGCAAGTCATTAGCATGGAGTTGGACCACACGACAGCGATCAAGCAGTTCTAGACAGGCCTGTGCTGAATGCCACGATGGCCCCTCGAGGCAGACGCTAACGAGGAGCTTCACAACACGTTGCGTTCTCTAAAGGCCCGGCGAACCGAGAGGGTGGCCCCAGAGCTGAGCCAATGGTTCTCGCTCGCCGTGCTGTCTCTGCCACTGTTTCTCTTGCAGTCTCTGTCGGTTCTCTTGGACCCTGAACCCTGACCTGAACCTCCACCTAAAACGCCCGATTAAGTCCCGGACCCTGATAATTAAGCCTTAATGCTTGCCTGCCTAAACTAGGCTCTCCCGACTACTGCAGGACGGAAAAAGGCCCTCAAAAAATAAAAAGCCTTAATGCTTGGAGTTGTTTGAGAGGCTACAAATCGGCGGCTTGTCGAGGAGGTCCAGAAGCAAACCGAGGCGCGGTCATCACCAGCAGCATAGGGTGTAGGGGTTTGCTCATGTAGCTACTGTGAGATGCTGTTAGCGGTAGTGTCAATCGTGGTAATCTTGCGAAGTAGAAGTGGTGATGCTCAGGGGGTGATGCTCGGGAATCAACCATACGTGCAATTTGTGTCAGTATGAGTCATATTGAAGAGCTGCCCAACTTTTCAAAAGCATTCGCATGATGGGCATACTCCTGGTATGGCATTGCGATGGGCGCTTGGGAGTCAAATCATTGGAAGCTTGAGATGCCCCTTTCTTCTCGACAGCAGATCCCGCTCAACTTTGACCCCTCTCACACTCTAGCGACTCTAGCAGCTTCTAACAGCTTCTAGCATCTTGCACTTCCAGGAGCTGTCCACGCTGACGCAGCAGCGGCTTGGGGACATGGCTCCTTAGATGCATTCCAGTTCTGGGGTAGAGGGTGTTCTTGTCGGAGGAGCTCTTGAGTGTCAGGCGCCTTACATGCACATGACAGGCTTCCGCACTGGCCTGGAAGGCTTTGAGGAATCAAGGTTGATGTGCAGTGCAGGACTTTGAGGACGGGTTTTGTGGAGTTTAGGGTTTCGGGGTTAGCGGTCTTGACAGGAGAAGGAATGATACATACACTTAATCTCCCAGCAAATTCACATGAGACCCCACATGCCGGCCACACTCACTACTTCGATTAGGGTTTCATAAGTTAAGTTGCCGCAAGCAACTCGTCGTCCAACACAGCCTGAAATAATGCAATTTGCATGTTGTAGGTGCAACTGGGCTTCACCCTCGCAAAATCATATTCCTTCCAGTCCCTTGCAGATTTGTGTTGTGGCTCGTGTTCCCGCCGCTGTTCTTGTGTGCCCCCCGTTCCCCCAAGTGTGTCTTGCACATGTTTTGAGCTCATCGGGTGGTCTTTGGACCTGGATGGTTCTTGGGTGTGGGAGGCTTGGGCTGCTGGATGCTCTTTCACTCTTTGGTGTTTTGGTGTTGGTATAATGAGAGGTTTCGTGCTGCAGGTCCGAGGGTTTCCCAGACCTGGTGTCAGGAGAAGCTCTCGAAGCAAGAGGAGGCCTTCAGCCGGGAGAAGGCGCGGCAGCGAATGGTGAGGGCTGCACCATTACCTCACCCGAAACTATGAGCTGCAACTGACACTAAGCCGATCAAAAAGCAGTCAAGCACAGCTTTTGTATTGTGCACTATGAAAACGGACAAGGAGGTCCTTCACTTCATAATCAGGGAATTATGAAGTACGAGAAGTCCTATATCTCTGTTCTGTTCGGGTTCTATAAGTTCAGCAAGACTTTATTTCTGTAGCTATATTCTCTCTATTTTCATCCAGGCTGCGAAAATGCTTCCAGGCTAAATGCACAACCTTTCCGAAGTCTAGCGTGCGAAAACCTCGACGCGGCTGATAAATCCGCAAATGTTCAACATCCTGACATCTCTAGGGCCATCTGGGTGTTTCTGAACCTAGCGACAGTTATTTGATGCCTCTGATGTGTTCGCGTCTGAGTTTGCAAAAATCAGAATGCCGCCAGGCTCAAATTTCAGGAGTCCCAAAGCCTGAACTGTGGCAGGGATCACACGTCCCGCTAAATTCTTAAAATCTGGCATCTGTGGGGGGCATTTACAATTTGCGAGAACATGGCCATTGATCAAAATTCCTGAAGCCTGGAATGCGAAAACATCGGCAGTGATCATATTGCATGAAAATTATCGACATCTGAGCAACCATATGGGTTTGTATGATCCATTCCTTTCAGAGCTGGTATGGATCATTTGAGCGGAGACCTAAACCACCGAAGAGCTAGCCAGACTAGGGCCGGCATAAACAAATGGGCACGCAAGCGCGCAACAGTCACATGCGCGCAAGGCTTGCGCACGCAAGGGTAGCTTGAGATCTTATAAAGACGACGACGATGATGGTCGTAAATCGCTTCAGTGGAAGAGAATCTCAGCAAC